TATTGTAACATGTCCGTGGCGATTATAGGAGGCGAGAGTTTCTGAAGGTCAGTTAAAAGTGTAAAACCAGGTGTTGTCTGCCTGGATAGAAATCCTGTAGAGTTTTGATGCTGGTATATTCTATTTAGCACTGTATCGTATTTACCTGCAAGTTTTATTCAGTAGTTCTATTAATTTCTGAACAATAAATGCGGTTATGGGGTTATTTAGTTATTGACGTCTAATTCAGCATGATCAAAGAACGTCATTTTACTGAAGAATAAACCCTTCTGGAATTCCCAACCGCTACGTTAAGGGCGGAACAGGGATGCTCTCCGGGAAAATTTGAATTACTCTCCTAAAGGAGAGCAACATGAAGATTCAAAATTCATTTGGTCCTTAAAAGAGCTCATTCTAAAACTGAGAGATGAATGTGAACTTACTTGTCTCTTATGACATCTAATTATATAACAAAAAAAACTTTACGTTTGAAAGGCTTTTAGTTACGAAAAACTGCGCAAAAATGATACTATTTTCCATTACTATACTTGTGAGTTTTTTAATGTCAAAAATTCAGCCGTGTGGCCTTTATCCTCAATAGCCGCCATAATTGTTTTCCAGTTGTCAAACATGCGAAGTAATCACGAGATTTCTGAGGGAGCATAACCGTGACTTCAGTAATAAATAATAAAATAAATAGATCTCTATTATCTGACGCTCGAGCACAATTTTGGAATATACTGGAAAATAGGGTAATACGATTTACGGAGAGTATTTTTCTTCCAATTGTTGCCTCCTCGCAGACCACTTGGCTAATTTGCATTATAATTTTGAAACCAATATGCCCGCCAACACGGCTGCTATCGTGAATAAGATCTATTGGAATATTTGTATCCAACCATGATCAGCCTGGCTTGTAACACACTGAAAAGATCCTCATCATACAAACTGAATACGCCAGTCCCAAAGCAGCACGATTGTTTTCTTGCTCTTTCCTTTAACCGCTTTCCATCTTCAGTAATTGATAACTTCTGACCAAAGTCTCGCTATGTAATCATCGATTCAATAACTGAACGTTATTGCCTTTCATGGAAGTCATCAGGAAATAGTCGCATTTGGATATAACATGATGTTCAAAATGACAACGAAATACCAACCCAAGGATTGTTTCAGAAATTTACGTTATAATACGAGCGAATGTTTTTTTTCTGTCAAATGTCTTGATCCAATAAGGGCCATCAATATGATAAATGTTTTCCTTTCACCAGACACCTGGTACCCGTGATATGATTGTTTTGAATCACTTCGCACAACAAGTCTTTGCTGTCACATTCTATCATTACCTATTCAAAGCAGTTACCTCAGAGATTTTTGATGTGCGAGAGGTAAAAGTGCAGTACTTCTGGCTTTGGAGATTGAATTTTCGTGAAATCAAACTCTCGAGTGCACGAAATAAAGCGAATAATGGAAGGACGTTTGCTCGTACCACTGGTGGTCTGCTTATCACTGGGGGTGATTTCCATGGCAGGTACGTAGGGTATCTTTTGTCATGGCTTATTTATTTTTTGGTTTGTGTAGTAAATTGATCAGCGAACCATGCATTTCAAACGAAAGTAAATTTACCTTCTTTTATAAGTGAAACTACCTTTATGATTTACACCCCGGATCGGCAACTGACCAGCAATTATCAAAATAAATGTTAGCATTATTGTGGTGCATTGCGATACCGTTCAGAAAAAACGACGCCCAGTACTGGGGCATCTAATATTGCCGATGTTACAATTTGAAATTCCACCCATTCAGTTATATCTAACAGAATAATTCGCCAAATCCATCAACGTGTGCATTTGGCTTTTGGCAGTAATGCCAAAATCAGTGATTAATGGTGACCGCTAACATATACGGCACCTGCTACTGTTCATGTACACTGCAGTGATTTTAAAGTGAGAAGAATTTATGGATGCATTCTAAAGGATCCTTAAAGCAAATGAATCGATGAACGCGCATGGCTGGTAATGAATTTGAAGGTTCGTTTCTTTTCTTCGAACTCCGCCCTAACGGAGGCAGAAACAATGACTTATCGATTAAAATAACTCTTTAACTTGAGAATATACTGCACATTTTAAATTGCGCCCCTTTTCAAGTTGGGTGTGGGTATCGGAGTTATGGAGGCCTCATAGCTTTACAGTCTGAGGTGGTCCATTCTCTCTGTATTGAAAGATTATAAGCGGAAGCATGACAATGCCACATCTCGTTTTGTCTCAGATCCACAGGCACAATACAAGCTTCGCAGTCCACTTCAGTTTAATGCACAAGCTCGCAACTTTGTCCCAAATCGATTTAGTCCTAAGAAAGGTAAGAACAAACAAAGCGGCGATGTACGTTATGCGTTCAACAATCCGTCCAGTTATGTAAATAAATTGGCTGCCTTTGGTATAAATCTAGATTTACTATAAATAACCTCCTTCAAACAAAGTTCAAAACGTTTATTATACGTGTTGTTCACTGTGAGCATAGTGCTACAAACTTTCAAGCTAATGAACATGAGTAAAAGAAATTTATAGATAAAAAAAAGACTCGAACTCTCGTAATAGATAAATTTAATAAAGAGCAACTAGCCCCCTTGCAACCACATGTATGTGTACCACGTTTTCGTCACTTGTACACTATTTTGTCAGGTTCACTTCGGCCCATTTATCTGTATTTTCAATTACAAACATGTGCGAGAGTGTTGGAATCATGAATGCCTGTTGAATATAGCAACGCCTACCTAAAAGGCGTTAAAACTAAGAAAGTCATCAGACAACATGAGAAACCCTTTTACGTATTGTATGGCTTTATTCATTGCTATTAACAATAATAATATTTATGTTTTTTTGTTTAATTATAAACAACATCAAGCTCCACGGTACCCACCGGTTCCACCAGGCGCAGGAGGCCAGCTTCCAGGAGACAGCCGAAACTTTATCCCAAACAGATTCGACATTCCAGCAAGTAAGTTACTATAGCAACGCGGTCAAATTAGGTAAACTTACGTCTGTCCTTCTATGCTATCCCCATGTACCTGATTTCTTTCATCTTTGTCTTGCAGGTATTATTGATAAAAAGCCAGGATCTGTAGGTAATGTCATTTATTTCTTAAGCATGAGGTGCGAAGAGCTATACGTACCGCCCCTTCCACTCTTGAAGTATCATAGTTACGCTTTATGATTGTTCATTATCATTTGTTGGTCTTTTAACAGTAGATCTAAAATAAAAATTAAAAAAATATGTATATACAAAATAAGCAAACTATATGTGCCGCGGCAATTCCCACTGAGAGGCCCCTTGTCCAGTGTTTCCACGTCGAATTGGAATCTGTAAGTGTTGGTTTTTGTGGAGGGAGGAAAACCGGAGACCTGGAGAGAAACCCTCGGAGCAAGGCGAGAACAAACTCCCCAAACCGACACAAGGTCCAGTTTCGAGCCCGGACCACATTGGTGGGAGGCGAGCGCCCTCGCCATTGTGCTATCCCTGTTCCCCTTAAAATAAAGTAAAATAAGCTTGTCTGTCGGAAACAACAACAACAATCATAATTTGCACTCTTTCTTGCAGATTTAAAGACATTTTGAAGGAAATAAATATATACAGTACTGGCTGCTTGGGATAACCATAAGCATAATAAAGGCTGGTGGAGCCAGGCAGCCAATTAAGATATTATATATTGAAGTAAAGAGGAGAGGCAGTATTGGGAACATTTCCGATCATCAGGATGTGCTGGGGCAATGTTCTCATTTTTTCATGTGTTTATTAAATATTCATTCTGTTTTTGTACATCAGGATGTGTTGGTGTTTCTCCCTGTGGACTGGCTACACCATATTCCCCACCAGCTCTCCCCATTCCTCCTCCCGCCCCAGCAGCTTACGGTGGATTTCCTCCAGCACCAGTTCCTTACGGTCCTCAGGGATACCCTCAACCACCCCTAATGGGGACCGATGGCTTTGGTATGCACTCTATAAACTCCCTGGCTCAGAGTGCCGCAGAAGCAAAAGCTAAACTTCTTGCTGGAATACATCCTCCAAAAAAATTTGTTCCGCATATTCCCCCGATGGGAAGACTACAGCCGGGCAAGCCTCCTTACAATCCGCCTCCACCTCTCCCTAAGCCACAAGCAGCAGGGTATGCCCAAGCAGGACAACTGCCTTACCAACAGCCATTCGGCTATGGTCCACAAGGAATGGTCCCTCCTCAAACGCCTGGCTTCCCCCCTCACCCACAAGGAATGGTCCCTCATCAAACGCCTGGCTTTGCCCCTCAACCAGCTGCCGGAATACCCCAGCCAGGAGTGCCTCTAATGCAAGCGGATTTTGCTGATCCCCAAGCTTTTACAGTTGAGTATTGTTTGCGATACGTGTTATTTGTTTAGCTAACCACGGGGGATGAACGATAATCCACTTGATGAAGAGTGAAAAGTAAGAAATGTCACTGCCTGGCGGTCTTAAACAAACAGTTACATGAAGTAACACTAATAGCATTGACGCGTCCTTTATAAATAAAGCTACCTAACACACAATGCACTACGAACGCCTTGGAGATGAAGCGGAGAATTTCGCCTCCAAAAGCAATTGATGAGCGGAAGGTTTAGTCTGACCAAGACTGCATTGATCTTCCATCCTGGCTTTCACTGAATTAAGCCAACGGTAACCTAGTGATTGAGGGAGAAATATATTCTCGTGATTGAATCGCAATGCATTACTTGACTCTTGTTTCAGGCACCGGAACCGTTGCCTCAGCAACAGACCGATTTCCTCCCTCAGCAGCCATCGCCCTTGGGACCTCAACAGCAGGATGTACCTCAGACCATCAACAGTAATGCCCCTCAACCCCCCTTTCCACCAGAGATGAATCAAGCACCTGCTTATAATGACCCAGGCCAACCAATGGCACCCGACGGTGAGTACATAATAATTCAAACTTTATCACTGACAGTTTTCCGAGTAACTGTCAGATCAACAGATTCCATCGCTGTAGTAGCATGCAGCTTTTGACGAGCAATTCTGACCAAGCAACAGCTACGCTAGAAAAGTCATGCTCGTGGATCATTATCTCGACATTAAAAAATGCTCTGATCATTTACGGTGTTCTGGGTTTATGGTGTGCTATGATATGATAGGACATGATAATTGCAATAGAAATAATAACCTCTCCCAGAGAGAGTAGTGGATCTCACTACAAAGAATAGATAAATAAATAAAAAATACCGGGAAGAACTTTAGTAATTTGCAACAAATACTATAAAAAAAACTGACATTTTTCCCGCGTATAAATGAAAATAATAAAAACAATTATTATATCTCTTAATTAGTACGCGCGCTGTGATTGGTCAATTTAGCGGGCAGTAATCTACTATACGGCCCGCTAAAATTTAAAGACGTTTTTGTTGCCAAAATATTTCGTGATTTATCGCCAAGTGTTCTTACCTTTTTAGCAATTAAAAGTTTAAAACTTTCTTTTACTTATGAAATTGTGTATTAAAACCTGCTAACGACTTAACAGTCACATAACAACGATTTCAAATTGAGTCGTTTTGCTTCCGAAGTGCGTCAGAAATTTGAAGCCGTTCCGCGTGAATAGAAATCGTTCTTGAGCCCGTCAGACACACATTAGAGATATAATAAATATCTTACTAACCTGGGCTTCTCGGTCCGTAATGTAACTCACGGATCCTCGTTTTTCCCCTTCGATTTATGGCCCGCGCGCTTCGCGCTTAGACCATAAATCGATGGGGGAAAAAACTCGGTCCGTAACTTACAGTACGGCTCTCGAACTCAGTTAGAGGTTTGTATATATATTTTTTTTTTTGTTTTTTTTGGGTTTTTTTTGTTTCGGTTTTTGTTGTCTCTTTTCTTCCCGACCTTTATAAGGGTGAGTAAAAAAATTATCCTTGCTCTTCTTGTGGTTGTTTTTGTTGATTCCCTGATTGTAGTTTATTTGAATTCACAGGTTCATTTGATTTGGCAAAGAAGAGGATGATGGCCTTGAAATTCAAGGCTCAAGCAAAGAAATTTGGAGTTCCAAGACCAGTACTAAAATCAAGACTGATGCCCAAGCCTCTGTTCAAAAGACATGTCTAATTTAATTCCATAAGAACGCAGAACACTCTTTGCCTGAGTATTGCACCTTTAAGTTATTAGAAGCAAATTTTGTAAATCGGGAAAAAAAAAACTCTGTCCGTTAAATATTTTCTACACTAATACTAATTGTAGAACACTGTTCAACTAATTAAATTGGCACATAAAGCATTGAAGTTTTCTCAAAATACTTACATAGTCCGACAACAAGTCATGTGACCAAGCGAACGGACAACGAAACGGTCACTTGGCTAACTTCTGTGATACATAATAATACTCTCAGCCTAGTTTGATGTGAAATGTGTGAAGGCCAATGAACAGAAGTGGACAGATCCAAAGGATTTAAAGGGTTATAATCAATCTCCCTCTAGCTACGAGGTCCACTTTAATTGAGTTTAATAAAACATGGTTTTTAAAGTTGATCTGAGCTTAAAGGCATGCCTTCGTACTGATTTGTTTTTAAATTCCCTATCGTGGGAGCTCAACCCTAAGATTTAAAACATCCCTTGTCCATATTTTCAAAATGCCGACAGTCATGGTCCAAGTAGAGTTTGAGAAATCTTCGTTGAAGCACTTACCGGCGTTTTGCGCTCCCATTCGTGCTACTTCGAGGTCACATGGTATTCAACTATGAAATTGTTTTCCGTTTCTCAAAGTGGGAAGCATTCCAAAATATATGCATACCTATCCTAATAAGTTATATTGCTCATGCGTATTATTGAGAACTACACCATACATGTGTAAATCGCTATTGCATGTCGTGAGGGTCTCCAATAGGTTTGGCGGGATGCGGGATTTGGCTTTTTTTTCGCCGTGATATTTGGGATTTGAGCTGAAAACAGGGGCGGGAAGCGGGAATTACAATTACGAGCAGGAGCGGGATTTCGTGTTTTTATAGGGTTGGGATGCGGGATTCGTAAGGAGAACTTAGCGGGATACGGGATTTCAATTCTTACATGACCTCATAAATTGTTATTGACCAG